ACAGTTGTACATCACAAGAGGGTGACATTACAGTTGTACATCACAAGAGGGTGATTTTACAGTTGTACATCACAAGAGGGTGACATTACAGTTGTACATCACAAGAGGGTGACATGACAGTTGTACATCACAAGAGGGTGATTTTACAGTTGTACATCATAAGAGGGTGACATTACAGTTGTACATCATAAGAGGGTGACATTACAGTTGTACATCACAAGAGGGTGACATTACAGTTGTACATCACAAGAGGGTGACATTACAGTTGTACATGTACTGTACATCACAAGAGGGTGATTTTACAGTTATGGTGACATTACAGTTATACATCAGATATTTTACAATCATTTGCCTTATTTGTCAAAGCAGAAGCAATTGTGTTAAGTCATATCATCTGAATTGTTCTTCAACAAGATGTCAAGGTTTATGTACTGTCGTTCTGATGGCAATCTTTGCATATTGGTAGTGTATTAGGTAAATACATGAAGGAATTTGACAGTACGCTTGTTGGCAGGTCATTTGGCTGGGATCCAATATGGCAAATCAAAATCTGATTTCAGAACACCTTTGTAGTCCAGTTTCACCCTCTGCTGTGCCCATAAAATTGTGTGCCAAAGCAATTCTGTGGTTTCCCATTTCCTCCTGAGAATTTTTATACGTCTCACCCCTTCTCCTTGGCAAGAATGGACACTTGTCCGGCTTTGCCTTTGGTTGTTGATTCTCTGGGCGTAGTTCTTACATTTGTTTCAGAGAAAAAAATTTGTTAAATCTAACATGCAAGATGTGAAACTTACTCTAGTAATGGAAATGTGTGTTTTGCAACCAGGGAGTAAATATGTGCACAAGGATAACTACAAAAACATTATCTGGAAGGATTTGGAGACAGAGGAGTCTGGTGTTCTCATCACAAATAGGACCTTGGTAAGTACATGTATGTTAAGAGGCTGCAACTAGACCATGGAGATTTAAGCGTGTAGCGTGACACAGAATAAGATGGTAATCAGAATAGTGTGCATAAGTGGGTGGTTACAGAGCCAGAAACAGAACATTTTAGATTTGAAACTGCCATTTTCCACCATAGGTGGGAATGGGGGGGAGAGGACAGTGGGAGCCATGTTCCCATCCCTAAGCAAAACCTGTTTTTTGTTTATGAAAAAGTAATTTGAGGCTATTTTAGGGCACCATTTTTGTTCATTCTCTTCCTTCCAAAAGCATGTAAAAAAAACCCAAAATTAGATTCAACCCTCAGAAAGGCCTGGAAAGGTTACGCACAGAAATGCCCGTATCTTTGGCAACCCCCAATTTTGCATTTCCCCATTTGGTTCGTGGTACCCTATTGGTTTCCACTATTATGGAATTCTGTAATGCACTGGAGTGAGGTCGTCCTAAATCTCACACCCTTTGAGGGGTAACAGTCAAGATCATTTCATCATATTCAACAAGGGATGATCCTTGCTGATGCCAGGTTCACACATTTCTGACTTATTGCCAGGAACACTCTAATCTGAGAAACTAGCCCTGATTTGCTGTTTGTGAGAATAACTTTAGAATGAAGCAAGAATAGTCATGAACTAAGTACAAATTGGAAGCCGAATCAGACCGACACTAGCAAAATGATTTATCACATGACTTTGGTGTGTATTCAGCCTTGATGCATTCTGGGTATTCTTGACTCATTCTGAATGATTCTAGTTCAATTTGGCTGTATGCGGTTTTGTTCTTGAACAGTTCTGTTTTAATTCGGGTTAATTCTGAACTATTCTAGATCAATTCTTATTAAATAAATTCTTAGGGAAATCTGGAGGATTCAGCATTATTTGTAATTCATTCTTGCTACCGTAATTTTTGGACTGTAAGCTGCGACTTATACGTTGATTCTCACGGAGAAAAATGTCGGCAGCTTATGCACCAGGCGGCTTATATGGCAACCTTTGAAGGATAAAATCAGTCACAAAAGCTGCATCCTGGCCACGTGTACCATGTGCTGGTGGTGCAGTCGTGTTTTTGTTGGTTGCCATTTACATCTGATAACTCGAATCTCAAAGACTAAATAAAGTCTCCCCGAGTACACATGAAATGGGTACATGTACGTCATCTTAAACTTTACTTGCTCTGCTCTAGCAACATTTTTAATAATTTTTCCCCGCTTTTTATTCATTCTCATAATTTTTTTTTTTGCACACAATCATTTTACTGAGATTTTTTTAATGTTGTTACCTAAAGGTTTCTTTCTACTGTGAAATAAAAAAATCAACTGCTTCAGTGGTGTACCTTTATGTGGCATATCTTTTGTCTCTTCGCCAATTGTGTTCAGTGTGACATGCCACAGAATTTCAGGTTCGTTTTCACTTAGGTTTTCTGATGACAACCCTTTTTGTTGTCACGTGGTTATTGGAAAGAGTCAGCAATTGGACTGTCGGTGAACGGGTCTGTGGTAGCAGTCGGGCTGGCCTGAAAGCAGGATTTGCTGCATGTGGTGCAGGGTACTGTACGCAGTGCGTGTGCCATGCAGCATGCATGCACGGCATGCATGCAACCTAAGCGGTTAGAATGGGATGACTCAAACCAAGGTCTTGTGGAGGTTTTTTTTTTTTTTTTGAAGCAATTTGGCTGTGATTTTTTTATCAGCTTCACAAAAACTCTGAGATAACTGGATGTAGTGTTGTGGACATTTCGAGTTATGGAGGTATTTTTGTACATAAGAGCCTTTTTTTTTGGCGAGAAATAGTCGGCCTACAAGATAAAACAATCTTTTGACTTATTAACTGACTTCAAGTGATCAAGATTTTATTGTACATCCCCGTCTGCATAACTTTTGCTAGCAAGAGCTGCTGCAGCACAATCACCTTCATGGTTGGATAGTCATGCTGCGCCGCTGTGTGGCTTATACGCCGGTGCGGCTTATATGCTAACTTCAGATCTTAATTTGCCGATTTTTGCGTGTTGTGGTTTACACACTGGGCAGCTTATATTTCAAAGATAACAGTATTCTTATTTATTCTTAAAATCTTTGTGTAAAAATGTGTACATTTTTGATACGTTCATAATGATTCTGCATGATTTTGGACTTCTATCAGCAAGAATTACCCTATGAAATTTTTAGAATGTGGAACGAATATCCAGAATTAGTTACAAATGCAACTAGAGTAATAGAATTGATATTTATTCATGAATCACCCCAACTATTTTGAACATGTCAAAATTTGCTGGGACACTTCCTGATCTTTAATGATCCTACTAATGAACTACCCTACCAGAATCACCTGGATGTACTGAAGACCATTGCTGTTTGCAGTGATTGGACTTAAAAATCAGGAATGTTTGAGCCGAGAATAATAGACAGCTCCTTATAGCTACTGATCTCATGCATTTCAAGAGCTTTTTTGTTATCGCTGTTGTTGACACTCATATGAATTTGTAGGTTTTCATTACAGATTGAAATATCATTAGTGTCCCAATAAAATGTTCTCAAATTTCACCATACCTCCCTCTCTCTTGTCATCATTTCAGAGTGAAGAGGATGCCACTAAATTCTGGGTGAACTCAGACATGACCTACATCTTGCTGGCATGTAACATCAAGAATCTATATCGCCATAGCTTCTATGCCCAGTACAAGCTGTATAATCTCGAAAAGGGGTAAGTTTGGAGAATTGTTGTGGTTGTATTTCACTTTAGATTTCACTTCGACTAAAATCACAATTGCAGTTTAGAAAATATAGAGAGTTTGTACCATACTTGAATCATGACTGACATGTTCTTGAATTTGAGATTGACAGTTAGTTTAGTAAGTCGTGAAAGACATTTGATTAAAGGAATAGTGAGTGCCTACCTGTGACCTGCTTGAACATGGCACCAAGATGATAATGATTTCTAACATGGGTTGCTGGTTGATTTCACTGTAAAACAATTGTTTGTAGGTGTTGGTGGCTGTCTTAGTGTGGGTCCGCATCATTGGGAGCTTGTCACTTCTCCCCAAGGTTTTTATCCAGGTTGACAAAAACAGTGTGCCAGAATTAGAGTATGTGAGAAGTGACCAGAGTCCAGAGTTCAGAGAAACCTTGTCAGATTTTATGGTGTTCCATCCCTTTGCCCGATCATTTTGTTGTTTCATTGTGGAACTGCTAAATGTTTGTAAGCTGGTGTGGAAATTGCATGTGATGTTCTAAGTCTTTACAAACGTTTTACATGTTTTTCTACAGAGCATCAGTTGGTCTGACTGCCCCAGGGTTGAAGGAACCGGTTGATTTACGATATGCAGCTTGGGCACCAGTGGGCTCTGGCTTGGTAAGGAATTTTGAAAACTCTCTCTCCCCTTCAATTCTCTCATGTTGGAACTTTTCATTTACATTGGCCTATTTTGGTGTAGTGTCCGTCCTAACAGCTCAGATTCATCATGTAGACATAATTTTGTGAGCTAGTCTTGATCTTTTATTCTTCACAACTTTTTATAACTTTTCTGTGACAATGCAATTCTATCTGAACGTTGAATTTGATGAAGTCTTGAGTAGAATGTCAAACTCTGTTCCATGCACATACACTATGCATGCATTGTTTAGCTAACCTACCAGTTTCGTTTACAGGGACAACTTTCCACACCAAATAAGTTTCTGCACCATCTGCAAAGTTAATCAGTTCTTCATGAATGAAGTTACATTCATAATCAGCTCAAAACAATTGGATACAGTGACTTAAAGTGTGGCATTTTAAAGGAGTCGCTTTTGCTGGACAATTTTAAATCAAAATGCTGGTGCAATTTTCTTTTCTTTTCCAGATATACGTGTACAAGAACAACATGTACTACCTAGACTCCATACCGTGGGGCGATGGGAAAGTACCCATCGGCGACACAGCAGTGCAAGTCACTCAGACTGGAGAAGAAGGGGTCATATTTCATGGTATCCCTGACTGGGTCTATGAGGGTATGTGTCAACCTGTTTCACATGTTGTCTCGTGTCAGAGAAAGTATTTGCTACCTCGCTCTTAAAGCTAGTGAAGTGGATGCTTTGGTCGACTCTAGTGGAGAAACCTATGGACCTTATTCAAAAGGAAGCTATATTCTTGATCATGTGCCCTGAATCTCTCTTATTCAATGTAATTTGTCCAATGGGGCAGTGCCAGACTATTTTGGGTTCCATGCCTTGCTGTCATTTATTTTCAATGTTGCTTAAACATCTATAACACCATGAGTCACAAATTTTGAATTTTTTTATTCTTCATTGCAAATGGAATTGACTGTAATGCATTTTCATTGCCGTCATTTTTATTCTAAGGTTCCTAAAATAAAAAAGTTTACCTTGCTTTTGATTCAGTCTGGCAGGACTTGAAATGGGGCTAACCATCACGGGACCAAGTACTTGCTCCCTAGCCAGCTGAATTTGTCAGTTTACTTGAGCAAGTAGCTTCCATATGCCATACATGTTCTAGAAAATTAAACAGCTTAAGGTCAAACAGTATTATAGTTGTGATTCCTATTACCATGATTACATTGCAAAAAATAGGTTTTGTTGGTGAGTAGTATCTTTTTTCTTCTAAAGTTTTTTGGTCAAAAATTTTTAGGTGGGGATTTTTTTTTAAATTAAAAAGTGATTTTGATGGTCTACGGTTTATTTCATCCACTGTTTTTTTCCATGGATTCGTAACTTGAGGATCGGTTCTGTCAAAAGTTGTATCCGGGTCAGACAGTTTGGACAATTATACATTTGTGTTGCATGGACATTCTGATAAGTTAATGTCCAAAATTTGTTTGAAAAACCCGCATGGTGATGCATGACACAGTAACTTTACGCACCTTGGCCCACGCCAGTTGTAACGAAACCCTCTATCGGCAAAAGCCAAAAATGTACTAACCTTAATGTCAAGCCGTAAATTCACAGTGAAATTATAGTGCAGATTGTTAGTCACAACTTCCGCTCACGCAGGAACGGCTGTAATGAGTCCCACTGACAGATGTATGAATATTGATGTTTCGTTGGCAGCCAATCACAACACAATAACCAGATGATCCCCGGATGCTGTTTATACACAAGGCTTGCACTTCGAGCTGGTTGATCACACAGCAAATATATATGACTGTACGCACGTACTTGTATGTACAATGTACAGTAGATTCAGTCGCATGCATTACGGAGCTCCAGTACTGTTCTTACTAGCCGCTTGTGTTAGCTTGCCGTGCTACTGCTCGGTGACGTAAAAAATTGTACTTACCTTGGGGTTCCATGACAAGGGCTATCTGAAGTAAAATAGTTTAGGTATTTTTCATGGCAAGAATGGAAGCAAACGGGCGTTAGTACTTGTGCCTTTATTTATAATTTAGGGCACATTTATGAGACAAGCGGGTGCTTTTTGGCTACCTGCGCTCACCGATTTTGAGCCCTGCATGGCTGACTTGTGAATAAAGTCAATAAAGCCATGTGAAAGACCAATTGAAGGAGATGTCATAACTACAGTGTGGTACCATAATCGTGCACAAGCTCTTAACCTAGACACATGCGTGCATTTGACCAGTGGCATCACCTCATCTGAGGGTCATGTAATGAGCATGTCCATAGTACCTTCACAGTAGTGGGGTCTGATTATGCTTGTCATATTAGCATGCTTGCAGGCACACCACTCTCGATTTTGTTTTCTTTTTAAAACGGCATTTATCACTGTCTTGAACCTAAAGTTTTTTTGTCAAATAAATGATCACTCACAAACCAAACACTGTTCCTCTGCCCCATCCACATAAAGATCTTTGTGTAATTTTTCCTGAAGATGAGCAAAACACACATCGTTGAGTTTCTCACTGCCGGCTCTTCTCAATGTTCTTTCCTTGGTCCACAGAAGAGCTCCTGAGTAGTGACAATGCCATCTACTGGTCCCCTGATGGTACCAAAATCGCCTATGCATCCTTCAACGACAGCAAGGTAGACAAAGCCTGGTACCCCAAGTATGAGAACCTGCGCTACAGCAAGCTGGAAGAGTTTGGTTATCCCAAAGCGGGCTATGAGAATCCAACCTTTTCCCTCCAAGTCACAAGCACTGCCAATTTTAACAACCCAGTCACTCTAGTTCCTCCAGGCAGCATCAGTAATAGGTACATTATTTGAAGATTCTATTCTAGATTCAGTTCATTTTGGGGCATTACACACTTTTAACTGTTGTGATGGTATTTCAGTCAAAACTAATCCAGATTTGTACATCAGGAAAGAGCCAGTTGTAGAGTAATCCTTGGTGCACGACATGACAAGAAACGCATAACACTGCTCCCAAAAGTAAAATTACCTAACAAAGTTCTTGCTGTGAACGCCAGTAGGTTTCCTTGTGTGGGTTTGTGGACTCCGTGGGTGAAGACTGATGCTTATTCATGCTTTTCCAGCACAACTAGAGCACATTATAATAATTGAGTAAATCTGTAGCGTATTCATGAGGGCGTCTGGCACAGAATTTCACCGGCATATGACGGTTCTACCAGCCTCTTTAACTTTATGAAACTAAACCCTAAAGCTGAAGATCAAGTTGGAAATGAAGTTTTGGAAAACTGCTTTGCGCACAGCATGCATCATCAACACATGCAAAATAGTTTATCTACATGATGTTTTTGTCTCAGTGGCTTCCTTATTTAGTGGGCCCTAAAGCAACTGGTAGATTTCTTTCCTGAGAATCCATGAACAGACCATATTTTCCCAATCTTCTCACCACCACAGGGATTATTACTACCAACATGTAGTCTGGGTCAACAGTGACATAATTGCGGTGACTTGGCTGAACCGGCCACAGAACTACTCTGTGCTGACACTGTGCCGCGTGGATTCCGGAAACTGTCAAATTAGCTATGAGTTTGAGACACCCGGTGGATGGGTTGTTGATGTGAGTGTGAAATTGGTTGATATTAGCCTGGAGACTGATTGAGCATCTCCATCACAATCTACAATTTAGTAATAATAATAATAATTTAGAATTCAATCATATGACAGGGGTTTATTTATGTGGTATGCGAAAAGTAATGTTTCCCTGGATGGTGTGAAATGTCAATAGCTGACATTGATATTTAAAGGGAAACTTTTTTCTATTATTTTCGCAGTTAAATTCCAACATTCAGAACCAACATCTTAACCCAGCAGTCCTCAATCCTTCACCTGTTGGGAGGATTGAGGACTGTTTGGGTTAATAAAATCTCAGTCCAACATCCGTTCAACTGACGTGTTCATTTCCCTTTTCCAAAACAGCGTGGAGCACCCAAATTTTCTGAGGGATCAGATCAGATAGACTATGTCAGAATACTACCCCAGAGAGAGGGCTCACACGGCAACTATTACCACGTTGCACTCGTGACTACAGACGTAAGTGATAATTGACCTTTTCTGTCCTAAGTCGTGCATGCGCATGCCTAATATGGAGAGTAAACCAGTCATTTTGCAGATCAGACTCCCCATTTTCCACCTTAGAGGGGGTACTCGTCCATGGGCCAGCTGGACATGTCAATCTTGTTCAACTCAGTAATGGCATGGTGGCTAGTGTAAAGAGCACTTGCCTCTCACCACTGGGGTCCTGGGTTCGATTCCCAGCCCAGGCCATATACGAGTAGAGCCATTTGTTGGTTCTTTGGTGCGCAAGAAGTGTTTTTGTTTGCTGGTGAACCTTGCATCTCTTGGCTCTACTCTATGGGCATATGGAAGTTGTTTGGTTAGCGTCTTTACATTTGTTTGCTTGATCAAGTTATAATTTAGTGTCTGGAATTGGTGCATAATACATGTTAGTTACTACATGATTAATACAATATTAATGCAGTGCCAAACCATGTTTGACTTCTGTATTTTCTCCATCAGTGGGTTATATAACTAAAGAACATATTCTTTTTAACCTTTTAGCATTCATTTCTAAATGTTCTTGTATTGGCTTGTTGATCCACAGCAGTCACCTGGCAAAGTGACCTTTTTGACTCAAGGTCGTTGGGAGGTCACATCCATTGTTGCTTACAGCCAATCAGACAAGTTAGTGTACTACATCAGTACGGAGAGATCCATTCGTGGGAGACACCTGTATAGGTACGCCTATCATTCATTTCAGAGAAAATCGAATTGAATCATCAATATGGTTATGATTTCATCACAAGTTTGTTTTACTCGTGCTTCTAATGAAGTGTGAAGCACTATTGTGTAGCAGTGCATGTAGTCGTAGATGATTGGTTATTCACTGTTAATTTATGATAGACTCGGCATAGTCTGTCTTAACCTTAACCCATAATCTGTCTTAATTCGTCCAACACATGAAGGATTGAAGATTGTTGGGGTTTAAGACCAGTAGTATTGAACTAGTAAGAGTAGAATCTTTTATGATTTGTAATTTACTTTAGTGCATCATTTTTGACTGTGGCTTTCTTTTAAATCTTGTCTTACTAGCGTGACCACCGAGAAGCCGTTCACACGTACCTGCCTATCCTGCGATCTCAATGTAAACTGTACCTACTACGATGCCTCCTTCAGTCCTGACAAATCCTGGTACAAGCTGAACTGTCTTGGACCCCACATCCCACGCACCACGTTGCACCAGACGGGCACCGACAAGGTGCTGGTGGTGGAGACTAACAAGGTTTTGACCCTGGCCCTGGATGGCAAAGCCTACCCCAACAAGACCTTCCTGGAGGTGCAAGTCGGCGAGTACACCCTCCCCGTTCAGCTCTGGCTCCCGCGGGCGTTGGACAAAAAACGGAAGCACCCGATATTGGTCCACGTCTACGGCGGGCCGGGGTCCCAGATGGTCAACGATCGGTTTGAGCTGGGCTGGAATGCCTACCTGTCCAGCAAGTTCTACGTTATTGTGGTTAACATTGATGGTAGGGGCTCAGGGTTTCAAGGAGAGAGGCATCTCTACCAGATTTACAAACGGTTTGGAACGGTTGAAGTTCAGGACCAGATGATAGGGGTTCGGTAAGTCAATCAGAGTGGGTGACCCAACCAACACAGTACTAGACTGAACAAACTTGTGAAGTATCAGTGCACATAATGTACATTCAGATAGCTACGTTATCATCTCACCAGATTGCTAAATGAGCCTGAGGTTGTTTCTGTAGCAAATCTCAGAGTTTGGGGAGGCGTCCCCAAGCCCTCCCCCGTGATCTGCGTTGACCCGTGCCCCATCGTTTTCCAACTTGACACGCATGCAGAAACATTTGTAAGGAGTACATCTGTGAAGATCCAACTCAATCCAACAACATGTGGTTTTGTTGCTATGTTCATTTAGGGTTCATGGCCTGACACGTGTGAACCCACGTACATTGAAACGCGTCGATAAAACAAGTTAGCATTGTTTGGCTGACCTGTCTTGAAATATTGAGCATTTTCACTAGAATGGCAAGTCTGATTTTCATAAAATTAACGTTGAGATGATCGTAAGACATTATTGTAAAAATTAAAGTCACAGCAGGAAAAGAACAAGCAATGCAAAGATAGCACATAAAATTTTAGGGGGGGGGCTTGGATTCCCTCTCCCACTTTTGGGGTTAAAATACTTAGACAAGTAGCATAAGTGTCAAGTCTGAAATATTTGGTCATATACATGTATATTCCGTTGACATATTGAAATGTGGCAACCCTTACTATCGTTAGTCACAAAATAAGTCATAAAAATCAGTCTTGAAACAGCAAAAACATTTTTGTTTTTTCTTTCCAAAGGCATATTCTGAAGAAGTTTGAATACATCAATAGCACCAAAATTGGGATTTGGGGATGGGTAAGTCAAATAACCCTCTTTCTACGTGTAAGTGCGACTTCCAATGTGCACTAAGTGTGCAAAACCCAGCTTTCTGACTGCCATATTTTCTGCAGAATTTATTTTATCATATAATACAACCAATGAATTCTTAACGCTGAAAATCTCACCTGTGATCCATGTTTCCCCAAAGGTCATTGAGTAGAGGTCAATGGCAAGCTATATGTGCACACAACAAATGTATGAGACAGGTTTCTTCGCTTTGGTAGTTTATTGCTGTGCAAGGACTCTACACAGCCAAAAACCAACGAGCAGCCCATTATCAGAAGTGCTTTCAGTGAGCAAATTTTGGGTTCACAATTTGGACAGAAAAAAAATGTATTTAAGTAAACTTGCTCAGCTAAACCGCTTTCAAATAGACAGTACACTCAAATATGAATTATGAATATACTTGTACTTGGTTTTGTTGTAGTCTTATGGTGGGTTTGCCGCTGCTATGGCCCTCAGTCGCAATGATGACATCTTCAAGTACGCCATATCTGTGGCCCCAGTCACAGACTTCAGATATTATGGTAAGTCCTGCACACTGAAATGGCGGTTTCATACTTTTTGCGCATTTCGTTCTGTCTAATTGGTTTTGTGTTGAACAGCAAACCAGCTATTCGTCCATGGTGAATGGACTCCAGATTCTTTGAACTCCATGTTTTTGGAAGTAATATTTGTCTTCAAAATTGTCACTTGTTGTCTCAATACTGGTTTCTGAAAGACTCAGTTCAACTCATTTCCCTGTGTAATTATCCTGATGTACCAAATTCAATTTCAAGGCCCATAGGTCAGTATAAATTCCCCATTTCTAGTGAATTGAGACGTCATTTGAACCAGTATATCAGCACATCAGAGGAAAAGTACAGTTCCCCCATGAGCAAACAAAAAGTTCTATGGTAAACAAGATCAAAGATCAAGGCAGCAGTAGTTTGGGAAACTTGGTTTATACGTTTTTTTCTGACAGATTCCATCTACACTGAGCGCTACATGGGTATCCCTGAGTCATGTGACAATATGGAAGGATACAAGGTATAAGACAGATTTTATTCCAAATTATTGATCGCAAAAACAAGACCACTGTGTGCCACAATATCACTATGTGTGGATCGGCTGAGACAGTAAAATGCAGAAATGATTCAATTTGGATGGTCCCATATGTAAATAGTGTTGAATTTTCTCCATAGAATCACTCAGGAACCTGTCCACCTTTTCCATATCAGTTTTAAAGTTCCATTCTGGGTGGCCGTTGCAGCAGAAAACAGACTTAATACAGGCCACTGAGAAAAAAGATTCTGATTGCAACAAAGGTACTCATGGACTGGATTGAATTTTAATTCTGAATTATCAAGTGTGTACTTGCTGAATCCTAGACTGTTGGAATGAAATAAAAGTAGAGTAGAAACTTCAATCAAGTTCACAGTGTAAGAAGGACTTGAATATGGGGCATGGGAGTCAGATCGATCCGGGGGCATGGGAGTCAGATTGAGCTGGGGAATGGGAGTCGGATTGAGCCGGGGGCATGGAAGTCAGATCGAGCCGGGGAATGGGAGTCGGATTGAGCCGGGGCATGGGAGTCAGATCGAGCCGAGGACAGTATCTTTCAATCTTGATTGATTTCTGATTATCTCAATTTTTTGTTGTTTGATGGTAGCACACCAATTTGTCAGCAAGAGCCAAGAATTTGAAAGGATTAAACTATTTCCTCATCCATGGAACTGCAGATGGTGAGTGAAATGATCTTCACTCTGCACTGGTCAGTGTAGTAATGAACAATCTTGGGGATTCAGCATGGTTGAAATATGCCACTGAGGTAGACACCAGACTTGTGGCTACATTCTCTTAGAATAAGTCATAATGTGTATAGTCTACTTCCATGCCACAGTGTCTGAAGCTATAGGTTATGCCACAATTGCAGAGAATGCCAGGCAAGCTCAACTAATTTTCAGATGTTTTTGTATCGTG